CTGAAGACTGCTTAAAGAAATGACGTTCAGGGTGTGTTGAAGAATAAATCTTGTCAAATTTCGACTTTCAAACTCAGTATTTGCTTCGTATACTGTATTTCCAGTCACCTCAAATTCAACTCTGGAGCTACTAGGGTCCTGATCAATTCAAGTTTGAAGGAGATCAGGCTAACACTTATCAAAAAGTGGCAGACCCAGAGACAGTGACACCAGTGACAAAACAAAAAACACCTTGAAAGTAAGACTTGATTACATTTTATTTTTTACATTTTAAAAAATTAACAAAAAACAGTTGCTTCAAGGCGTTTTATACTGTAGAGTAAAGACCCCACAATATAAGAAAGAAACCCCAACAATCTGATGATCCCCTGTGAGCAAGCACTTTGGCAACAGTGGACAGGAAAAAACTCCCTTTTAACAGGAAGAAACCTGTGACAGAACCAGGCCATCTGCCATGACCGGTTGGGGAGGGTTGATGGTAAAGAATTTAAGTTTCTTCAATTTTTGAAGAAAAGCCAACTAGCCTTAAGAAAAAGTTTTTGACCCCTTTCCGTAATGAAATCCAACGTTTAGCAGGATCTCTATTGACTGTTCCTTCTCCCCTGTCTGTACTTGTACAGGTACTTGTACTTTCCATGCTAGAATCATTGGATTCTACCAGATTTTTGGGGGGGTTATCCCAGGTTTGACACCCAGCCTCTGCTGATCTGATTTATCTGCAGAGACTGGTTTGACCTTTTTACCCCAAGACATGTCATCTTCTGCATGCTATGCAAGCCTTCTAAATGCGGGCTGATCCTGTTGCGTGCAGCTGCTCTATTTTGTCGGTTTCTTTGGATTTCAGCTGCAATCGCACGGTTGTCAGAAGTGGATGACAGTCTAGACTGCTTTGTTTTCTGTTTTTTATGATTTCACTTGAGGTAACAAAGTTTTCGATTTCATTTTCTGGACTGAGGAGTGGGCACACTTTCATGCTCATGTGGGATGACTCCACATAGCAATCTACTGCAGGGTCCTTGGGAAGATGTTTCATCGTAATAAAACGATGTCCCAGACCTTCAACAGGTGTGATTCTTTTTACAGAATCCAAACACAGCATCCACTCGAGCAGGCTTAAAAATGCCAGTGTGTCTTCCACTTTGGATTCTGTGTGTGGCTGTAGGTGGTGTTTGGGTAAATCTTCTATGCATTTGTCTGTGATTGTTTTACTGTGTTTGATCAAAGTGCCTGTAGATACTGAATACTGAACTGGTGTCTTCAGTACCCATGTGTGTTTCATTACCTCTTTTCTCTTCCAGAAATATTTCTTGGTGTGCTGACCAAGCATCTAGCATTTCCATTGAAATGAAAGTCTCTGCGACATAACCGAATGACGCATTACGTCATGGGACGTAATGGAAAGGCTGCTTTGAGATGGAGCAGCGGTTAAGAGCTTAAGAATGCAAAGGTCTCTGAAAAGAAATACAAGTTAGGAACATAAACTCTGGTTTGTAAGCAGGACTTGTAGAAACCAGAATGTAATTTGAAGGTGTAGACGGCCGCTGTAGCCAGCTGACTGAATGTAAGAGCACTGGACATGAATTCACACATTGTGGATCTGTCATCAGTGCTGTGGCTTTGAAGTTGAGCAAAACTGATGGTAGAAGTTTCTTCTGAATTCTTCAATTCAGGATTCTGAGTGCAACCCATTTGAACTAGCTACCCAGAATGCATTGCAGCGTTAGCCGTGGTAGCCTGTAAGTGAAATGTTTAGTTTTTAAAAGTACATGAAACTAAAACCATATAAACTATATAAAAGTGCTTGTATAAGTTGGTGAATGCGTCAGTATAGTGCAGAATAAAAACTATATAAGAACCAGTCCATTTCCCACTGCACACCAGGTGTTACCACTGTGAACAAACCACGCTTCATATGCTGCCCCTGCAAAAGGACAGCATTCAAACCAGCTGAAAGGTAGGCTGTGGAAAGGCTTGTTGATATAGCTATCAAATAAATATCCCACATGAACAAAGTCTTTCAGAAATGTGTTTGAACTGACACACTGTTCTTATCTGATATTCCAGAGCATGAGTGAATGCTGGCGTTCAGTTTCATTTGGTGCAGGATTGAGCTGTCAAATGTACAAATAAATTTGATTGTGGAATTTCTATAAAATGCAGAAGTTAGTAGTCTTTGAGCAAAGTTTCATCAAAATTGGTCCACTTGTCTAGGAGGAGATATACAGACATACAAAAGCGACAGTCATTATATAATCAGGTGCAGCTAAATGATTTGTAATCAGTCTATTACAGCTTCATTTACATTTGAAGTGTATAACTTGTGCGAATACAGAATTGTATGCCTTTTTATTATGTGACAAGAAAAGCAGATTATTTTTAATAATCAGAATATGATTAGACTGTTAACCTAAATAAATATAAAAAGGTAGATAAATATCAAAATCCAGACAACAAACCAGTTTTAACCAGTTGTTGTTATGACTTCACTGCATGAAATCGTAATTTGCATCAGTGGGAACAAGAGCTGGCTATTAATTTTCACAGAACAGAACAAATAACCGCAAATGTTCACGTGTGTTTCAATACATATCCCATACAATTTTCCCAATAAATTTCCCATTTTCCTAGCAAAATATAAAGAAGTGAGTGGTGTCTCGAGACTTTTGCACAGTGCTGTATAGGGGATTACCAGCCTCAGCCTTCCATTCATACAAAGATCACAGGATTACTCCACACTTATTTCAAATTGTGCTTAATTTAAAGATGGACTTTAAATGTGTTGTGCCTACCCCAACGCCCTACGCTCAGGCAACCAGATGACACTATGTCCCATCTGCATTGCCTGCTCATTACACTCAATCCAACCAAGAGATCACATGTGAAACTTCCACAGTGTCAGTAATTTTTAACAGGATCTGTAATAATGATCACATACAGGTGGATGTTTTATTGAAACAGTGATGATAATCAACAATATTTCAAAATAAAAGTCCAAGATACAACTTATACTAGTCTGTATGACAGTGGGGCTTTTTTTTGTTTTTCAAAAACAAAAGCAGTTATTACATATGCACATTAAAGTACTTTAGATACTGCAGAATATAAACAGATTTTAAAGATCAAGCACAGACAGTCAAACATCTGTATGCAAAAACACAGAAACACAAGTTGAAAAAGGCATTACTTACTTTCATTCAGCTGAAAATACTATCATCCACACTGCAGGACATTTTTACTGTGCCTATAAAAAAACCCAGTTAGAGATTGTCCAGACAGGAGACAGAGACCTATTTCCTTTCAAGATCTGGAATACTTCTCCTCACATTTTAACTATGTGTATATAGTTATATCAGATTTGACTCGATGGTACGACAGCTAAACAGCACACTGAAATAAAATAAATCACAATCAAAATACTGAAAAATATCATTACACCGTGATATTATGTACAGATCTGACACAGTTCGTACTGGTGTATATACACAATACTGCCAAAGCAACACTACATTGCTGCACTATCAAAACGAGAGGCATCAATTTGAATTCTCTCTCTTGTGTAAATGTCCAGCAATCATCACTGGAAAATTGTCCATTAGGTTTAATATGTTTAAGAAGATTCTTCCTGCCCACTAATGCATTTGATCTAATTCAGATTTTCCTCCAGGTCAATTTGAGGCTATTTAGTGATCTATCGCTGACTTGAAACAGCATTTCCACTGCATTTCCATTGTCCCCTTCAGCTTGTCACCCATCTGCCAGCTGAACAGCTTTTTGGTTATTGCCTAACTACTACAGGAGCGGAAACATAGAGTCAGCCAAACAGTCATCGCTGCTTATTCACAAAGGCAGTATTTTCATGTTTTTTGATATCTCTTTAACCGGCATCTTTCCTTATGTGAAACATCTGCTAGTTCAAATATCACCGACAGAAAGCAAATAAAGCCTCAACCTTACATGCATGATATTAGTGAGTTTTTAAACGTGTTGACATGAAAGAATCTGCTTTTAGTGACCAGCCCACGGAGAATTATCACTCAGCTCAACAGCAATAAGATAGTGGAGGTTTTACTAGCTAACAGAGCTAACGAAAGAGAATAAACATGCAATTTCTAATTGTTAAATTGCAAGAATAAACATTTGTAAATGAAAAAATAAGATGTTAGAAAACTAGTGCACATTCTGAACAGTTGTTGAGACACTTTTTAGACTTCCAACAAAAATGCCAAACAAAAAGGAACCTCTACCTCACTCTGATGACATGGCCAGCTGAAGTGGCAGAGTGCACATTGGCTAAAACAGTCACCAGCTTTGAAAGAGCTTTATCAAATCAACCTTTGTGTGTAAGATTAACAGATTGGTAGCCCTTTTATGAAACGATCCCACAATTTTAGTGTTAGATGAATAACAAGCGGCAATCAATAAAGTCCCCGGGTCTGATATTTGTCTGTAAATCAGTGAAAGTCTGTGCTCCACACATGTGAGGAGACAGCAGTGTTTCCTCTGCCAGCAACGACTGGCATCATCAGTCAGTCTGGTTTTCAGTAAGGAAAACATATGATCTTTTTGATTGTGGTCAGCTGACTGACTCGGCCAATCACACAATCGCCACCGCTTGGCCATAAAAATACACCTTGCTGGCAATGTCTGTATGCTTAGGATCAACGTCCTTCTTGATATCCTGCTAATTTATGGACTGAGCACATATGGTGCAATGACTCCCATTGTTTACCTAATATGTGAAATCCCACAAACACAGTTAAAGCTAAAAGTCAGCTTGTTGGCTTCCCAGTGCGCATGTACTGTTGAGATAGGTGCATTATTGGTGTGTATTTTTTTTAGACACTGCAGTAATTTATATGCATTTTTAAATACATATTATCATACACAGGGACACACGGGGATGTTTGTGATTGTCCTGAAAGAACCCCCCACCCCAAAACCTTGTGACACATAAAAGTTTCAAAAACAATCATTTAAACAGCAGCTCAGAAGCCTGCATGTTTAAATTCAGACTCCTGTGGTGGAGAACTGCGTGACTTCAGTCTGGAGGTCATCATGCACTGCTCTCCCACCCAGCTGATCCATACCTAGTCAGGCGGGCGGCTTCGCTGTCGGCGCAGGGGCACAAACGGACGCGGGCTCCCGCGTGCTGTTGCGGACTCTGGAGAAGCTGCTCTGCTCCGGGCGGGAGCGATAGGGCAGGCAGAAATCCCTGAAGCACCTTTTGAAGTTCTCATCCATCAAGGCATACAGCACAGGGTTCAGACTGCTGTTGGTGTAGCCCAGAGCTATGCAAATATGCCAGCAGGCCATGGTCAGGAGATTCTTGCGGTCAATTTTCACAGCGGTCTTGACAATGACGAAGATGTGAATGGGAGTCCAGCAGATTATGAAAACCGCCACGACAACCAGGACCATCCGGGTGATCCGCCGCAGGTTCTTGTCCTTCTCTTTGGAGCCAGAAAGCAGACGGACACTCTTAAGACGCAGGATCATCAGCCCATAGCAAACGGTGATGACCAGGACGGGCACCACGAAGGCAAAAATGAATACACAGATTTTTGTCACCGTGTCCCAGTACCTTTCCGGTTCAGGAAATCCAAGAGAGCACAAAATGACTCCTGAGGAGGTAAAACAATTGCAAGTTTAATAAAAGAAGGAGAGGCTAACTGAAATTAATAACACAACTCAAAAGTCTGTTTTATTTTTCCTTTTAAACAGCCAGTATGTTTTCACAGAGCAATAGTATTTTCCAGCGCCTCTTTTTTTTTTAACAGCAGCAATGAAAATTCCCTCACCTTCTTCTGTCACCTTGGTAACAGCCATGATCATCACGGGGACTCCGATAGCAGAGGAGAGGATCCAGATGGCGACGTTGATAAGCTTGGCTTTGGCGGGCGTGCGGAAGTCCAGGGCCTTGACCGGATGACACACAGCGATGTAGCGATCCACGCTCATCATGGTGAGCGTGAAGATGCTGGTGAACATGTTGTAGTAGTCAATGGCTATCACCACTTTACACAGGAGCTCCCCAAACGGCCACGTGCTCATCAGGTACTTGGCACTCTGGAAAGGAAGGGTGCTGGTGGCGAGAGCGTCGGCCAGAGCCAAGTTGAAGATGTAAATGTTTGTGGCTGTCTTCATCTTCGTGTACCTGTTTGGTGGGAAGAAAAGTGCAGAGCACACTTTAAACAGATTGTGACACACAGCGGATGGGAACAATTGTCAGCTGGAGGAGACTGGATTTCTTCCCAAGGTCTGGCTGTTGCTATAACACAAAGAGGATGTCTCGTGTGGCTGACTCATGACTTCCATTAAAATTTTAAAAGTTACAAAGTTTTATTTAATTCATTTAACCATAAAACCAATAATCTGCTATTTCCTCTAAATAAATAAGATTTTTTTAGGTGCATAATGTCATTAGAGCACTACACTAAATGCACAGCAGCTCGTCAGCTTCTCTGGAGCCTCCATTAAAACACATTTCCATGTAATGAATTGATTATAGCTCAAAGCCCTCCAAACTCCTACTTGATTTTAGATTAAAATTATTTTGTGTGTGTGTGTTTTTTTTTCTGAGTGCCAGCTTAACATTTGCCTGGGTCTTTTAATATGGATTGCTCCACATCAGCCCACAACATGACACTCTGTGGGTCACATTTGATTAAATTATGTTTCTGAAGTGTTTTGCTGTAAAATATCAGACTCTGAAAGGATTGTGGGAGACACATCTTATTCCCAGGTATTAAGACATCTATGTATTACAGCACTGATCTCATCATGTGCGTAACTGCTTTGCCTGGGAGTGTGAGTGATATATTTAAAGTTTTCTTCATTTCTTTTTCAAAAATTAAAAAAGAAATCCCCAAAATCGAGAATACATCATATCGACACAGTATCGCTTTTTAAGGTTGAGCTTTGGTTTATCATCTCAATTTACAACCCCACTCTCTTACAGGAATAATTGGTGCAATTAAATAATTTCAGGGCTAAACTGTAGATTACGCTCCATCCTCTTCTTACATGTGGGAGGTGTGTGTGTGTGTGTGTGTGTGTGTGTGTGTGTGTGTGTGTGTGTGTGTGTGTGTGGGTGGGTGGGTGGATGTGATGGAGAGCGGCTCTCAGGCGCAACTGGCACTGTGGGCAGTTACAAAGGGGACCATCACAAATAAAGTACGAGTGAAAATGGATTTCCCTTGAATAGAAATATGTGAAATTGTTCTGCTATATTTTAATACGTAACATACAGAGTACTTTATGGTCATTTAAAATAAACCCTGATCACATGAAAACATATTTATCCTATCCATATTGGGGTTTCTGTCATATGTGCATGAGTGTGTCGCTTTTCACCTTTTAAAACGTGTCGAGCAAGTAAATTATTTTGTCTTCCTTTCAACACATTCCCTTTGGGTTATCGTTATCTGAATAGCGTGTCCTTCTTACCTGACCACCCCGTACATTACAAGCACGTTTCCCACCAGTCCCACCACGCAGACGAGAGAGTAGAGAGCCGTGATGCAAACGTGGATGACAAGTCTTCTGTCCTTGTTGGTCTCGTTGCCAGGAATGGAAAGCAGATCCTCAGAGCGCGTAACATTGAAAGGAGTTACTGAGACCGAGTAGAAATAGTCCGGGAGAAGAGTGGAAAACTCCATTGCGGGGATCCAGGTGCGAACAGAGCGCAATAATTCGAGAAGTACGAGCGCACGAAAACTGTGCGACAAATTAAGTCATCGGGCGCTCGGAGGATGTGAGAGCTGTGCCTCTGCGTCTCGCCCGCCCGCGTGTGAGTGGCGCGTGCGTCTCTGCGCACTGGCGCACAAAGAACAAGCAGACCGTTTCCCTGACAAGTTCTTACCTTGCCTAAAGAGACTTTTTTTCAGAACGCGTGAATTAAAAATGCTTCATCATCAGACGATTGCCAGTCATAACCAAGATGCCATAACATGTTCTACAGCCTGACTCTTCTCACCGGGCGGTCACCATCACGTTACCACCTGACAGCACCAGGGAAACATTTAGCTTGCTTTTGATAGCATTACTGCATAGCAGCAAGTGCGTGGATGTTAGGGAATTACAAATGAAGTCATGTGATTTGGAACCGCCTTTGGGAGGTCGTTGTGAAAACCCCATGGAAGTCTGCAGATCTTAAGTGATACTTTGATAACTTTTTATTGATTTTGATATTTTTGAAAGAAAAAACACGCTGACAAGTGAAACACTTTAAGAACTTTACACATTAATGATGTATTAGGGTAAAACGAGGAAGTCAGCCGATGTTAAAAACGACACCAGATCACCAGCTTTATTAACAACTCAATTATGTTAACTGTTTTTTAATGGTTAAACCAGTTTATCATTTCACTCATGAATCCTATCAGTGACCTTTGCACCCTAATTTAGTAATTTTGCCTAAATAGATCTCGCCAAACACGCTCTGTAAACCTGTGGTTTTCCTGCTGTTCCTGTCATCCATCCTAGTTATGGCAGATCAGTCAATAACTGTTTAGCGATGGGTTGCAAATGTTTAAAGAGTCTAAGTTGTAAAACCCTAATGTCCCAAATTACCGGCTTATGACCCTCACAGTACTGATCACAGCTATATGAGCAAACACACTGACACAAGCCTACAAATACATATGCGCCTCCATTTGAGAACTGTGTATTTACTCTGGGTGAATATTTAATAAGTGGGGGCCATTTTTTAGTAATATAAATGTGATGAAGCTTTTCTTGTCCCTGGATATCACTGTATCACTGTTGTGTTTTTACTTATTAGAACATTTAATTTGTTTACTAACATTAGATTTACTGAAGCTTTACAGCCTAACATGTACAGCTGGCAGCAGATCATAGGTCCTTCATTACTCTTTTTCTAAGAGTGCCAAGCAGACATCTTTTTCCAATTTTAATGAAAGCATTCATTTATCTGTAGCTGCCTTTCCATTAACCTGGACATCAAAAACCATTACAAACAGGCTGCAGCATGTAATGCTTTATGGCTCCTGAAATTGAGTGTGTCATGCATTTGAGTCTTTCTCTAACATGTGAGGTTTTTTTTGAACATGCACAGATACAGATTCTCCTGTGGCTGTATTAAAATTGCAATAATCGATGCACTCTGCAGACTGACCTTTAAGGAACGGCCATCAGCGCAGCACAAAGCAGTGAACGGGCAGCATTTAAATGGTAAATGGACTGCATTTATTTAGTGCTTACTTACTAGGAACATTCACACAGTGTGTTTGTGCTATACATACAGCATTTGTCCTACTAATGGACATGCTGGAGAACATGTTAGGTTTTCAGTATCTTGCCCATGGAAACTCTGCCATACAGACAGGCAATGATCAAACCATCACCTCCAGTTAATGGAAGAGCCATAATCTCTGGTAAGCCATAGCAGGTAACACCTTTGCAGTGTCTTTGAAATAGACTATTTGTGTCTCCCTAAGAAAAGAGCATTTTTAGATTTCACAAGCTTGTGTTTTGTACTGGACTGATCTGCCAGTTGTTCAGTGTTTGAGTGCTATGAAGTCTAGTGAGGAGGACTGTTCCTTGAGAGCAGCCAGGTTAACATTTCTGATGTTCAGTCAAATGTCTGTTGATTCTGACTTTTAGTGATCCTTTACTTTTCCATCATTTTCTAACTTGCTGTTCTTTTCCTTTAAAATCTCTGTGAGATTTCCCATTGTCTTTTTTGTACTCTTTAAAACTGACATGCTCTGTCTAACACAGCTGCACAATTCAATTTAGTGGTGCAGGTGGCAAAAACAAAAACTGCTGGGACCAAAGTTAGGCTTCTGACACAAGAGTCACACTAAGGCTTCCTCACTATTTTCATTCCTTCCCATGAAACTTGAACCAATTCCTGCAACATAAGGCTAAAAAACATTCAGTTCTTAAACCCTGGAAAATGTAAGCTGAGAGTATCGAACAGGTGCTTTTCTGGGATTTTTAAAATATATGTTGCTGTTACAGATCATTTGAATAATCTTTATTATGTGGTGCAACTTTATCTATAATAATGTGGAAAAATGATTATTAGACTAATATATTAAAATATGAAAAGTAACTTAAGGTTTTAAACAAACAGAAAGTAAAATATTTGCATCCAAAGTATAATTGAGCAGAAGCAGAAAGATGCTAACTGGGAAATATTAACACAAAATGCTGTCACAGATATATGCTGATATATGCTAAGACTCACACTACTGCATTCCAATTCAGTTCAATTTACATGGAACCAATTCACAACAACAGTTGCCTCAAGGTGCTTATTATTATAAGGTAAAGACCCCACAATCATGCAGAGAAAACACCAACAATCAGACAAACCCCTATGAGCAACCACTTGGCAACAGTGGGAAGGAAAAACTCCCTTTTAACAGGAAGACACCTCCGGCAGTTCCAGGCTCAGGGAGGGTCAACCATCTCGTTGGCTTGGTTCTGCACTGCCAGTGGCACCTGCACCATAACTAGGCCTCCTCCTTTTCTTGGTGGCTGTAATGACTATTTTAACGTCAATGAAGAGAATTGCATTGTGGGATAGTTATCTTGTGGTATTTTTGTGCTGTATATTAAAAATGAGTAATTCTGCACAATCTTTATTTTCATGCCCAACCTTTATGACTAAATGGCTCGTATAAACAAGTTTGAAAGCACTACAGCTTTGTCATTCTCAACAGAGTACCGTGCTAAAGTGTCATGTGCTGATATAAAAGTGCCTCAAAAGTGAGTGTAAGCTGATAGGAAGGAGGCGCGTAGGTGGAGAGGTCACAGTTACTGTCACACAGACATTTTCCTTCAAACATTTCATTAAATTCAGCCCACAAACTCTGCTGAGGGCTCTGTGTATATCTAGCTTATATACTTACACACTTCTGGCGGCCATGATCACAGCAATCAATCTCAAAACAATAGTTCAAGTGGGACAGCACATCCCACCAGCATTAAATGACTTACTCAGCAGTTCAGAAACAAAACTCACTCCATTTAATTTCTGGGTGGGAGAACAATGTATGCCACAGAGCTTACGTTGGAGGACTATCTACTCTGTTAATGAATAGGACTAAAAATACTGTAGTGTGTTAGTTCTGTGCAGGTGCTTCCTATAATCAAAGAGTGTGCACGTTGAGATGCATGTTTCTCTGTAGACAGTTGTTATAACTGGTGGAAATATGCTGCAAAGGAGACAGAATTGGGTCTGGACATAGAGTCACCAGCAGGAACAAAATGCTGCTGTTGCTCTTGTTTATATTCTCCTCGCTCCTCGGGGAGAATCACTCATGATTAGTGTGTACAGGCAGTGTGATTACCCGCATCACTCATCAGCCCAATGGAAACCTTGGGAAACATTATGCTGCTTTCCTGAACCCATTCATAGCAGGGAATACAGAGTACGGGCAAATGAAAGTGAACTCGTTGTTGGGTTTTTGCATAAACATACAACGATGATGTTGCATATTTGATTTCATAATGATTGCATAAGACAGGCAGACTCCTGCCAGCTCCCAACAGATTGTTTAGTTTTAATGAATAATTTTAAATAGATTAACTTTTCAGTGTCTATACATTGCATTTTCACATTGTATTGTGTGGAATTAGTCCCCTGTTTCGTGCACGCAACAGCAGTTCTGATGTGAGCCAGAATACTTTAACTTCTTAAAGGTCAGAGAATAAAGTACATGGCTTGACATTTTATTTCCTCACGTTGTGAGTTTCTCTTCTGTTATTACATGGATGAGAAACTAAAATGAAAATATATGGAGGCTTTTTTAAATAATATTATCATTTAGCTGTACGTTCTGAATCTGTCAGAGCTGAAGGACAGTGGAAGCAATTACTCGTGCTCTGTCTTAGCTGTAAGATTAAAGGACATTTTGTTAGTTACACCTTGTGTTACTACCTGATTAAACCTCCTTTTGCCTTTAGACCTGTTTTAATTACAGGGTTCTGGAAACATTGCTCAGCAACAACATTGGTCCATATTGCCGGGATAGCATCCGACACGTGCTGCAGAGTTGTTATCTTGGAATCTCTCAAATCATCCCAAAGGTAGTCTGTTGGATTGATTTCTGGTGACTGTGGAGGTAATTTGTGCATAGTGAACTCATTTTCATATCCAAGAAGCCGTGTTCAAAGTGACTGAAATCGCTTTTCTTCCCCATTCTCTCTTTTTTTTTTGTTTTTTTTGCCTGTCCCGTTTGGCTCTTTTGCATCAGAATTATTGTCTAAAGGCAAAGAAAGATGCCCAACGGATTTACTTTACCAAATTGACCATCCCAGCCTTGCCATAATGGTCCATCTGATTCACCTTTTATTGTTTATTTTATTTTCACTTGCTGAATACGGGACAGACTTGACTGGGGGAAAGAAGGGGAGAAAGAAAGAGGGAAAGAGAAACAGCTGAGAAGAGGGACGGGGGAGAAGGGCAAAAGACAAAAACCAACAGAATCAGGAAAAAAAATGCATCTATCAATCACCTGGGTCACCTGTTGAGAAAGAAAAAAGAAAACAAGCAGAAGAGAACAAGAGTAATAGAATAAACAACATCACGATGATATATGGGAATATGACAGTAAATACTAAATGTTAAACATTATTGTGCAGCACATAAGATCAACAGAACACAGTGTGCTTTGAGGTAGGAGCCAAAAAGGGTGTAGTTTGTGGGTGTGATCACCCGTGTGTACACCTGTGAGCATGGACGCGCTTGTTTTTTTAAAAGGTTCCTTCATGTAATGATCTGCTAGAGGGTGTGGGGGGGCCACAGCCCCGTCCTCCAGGGCATGAAGCAGGTATGGAGGAGATCAAAACTCCAGACATCCAGAGGCCCCCAGAACACAAGAGACCAAGGAAGACCAACAGAGGGGCAGCCGCGCCACTGTCCCAGAAAGAGCTGAGGAGAGTCCCAGATGAGGGCTCACTCAGCAGCCGCGGAGCAGAAGCCAGGGGGGTTGCAGTGACGCGCCCGTGAGCTCCGCCGGCAGCCAGCCGCGCCTGAGTGA